TTGCACTTAATAATTTCCAGTTATTCCAAGTCTAGATTCAGAAGGCCACAATTAGGGGAGAAGGCCATCTCTTTACTTCCCAGTCCCACAAGGAACCACAGCATGTAAGAATTCAGAATTTTCTCTATCTATTGTGGTTTGAGAATCAGAATTTCTTGTTTATTTGAACTGAAGAACATTCACACTCAAATGAAGAGGGTTTGAGCCTTTGTATGGGTCACATGGCCAGGAGGCGGCAGAGTTGGCCTTCAGTGACTAGGCTAGTGGATGTAAGCGCATAGTTTTCTCTCCTGTGAACAGTGAACTATACCACAGGACAAATCTGAGGCTGCAAAGATGAATGAGACAGTTCCTACTGTAGGGGCTCAGACAGAAGCAAAGGTTTAGAGTATTTTAGGGAGTTGTACCTCTAACTCCATTAGAGACTTAACCTTGGCACTCTTTCAGTGAGTGATTCTCCTAATAACTCAGTGTTTACACTTATGAAATGAGGAATAATGCACATCATCAATTACAATGTACCTTTTAATATGCTCAAGAATTCACAAAATATTCTAAGACCTTTAGCACTATGTCAATACAAAGTGTCACTCCCATTATTAATGGGTAATAGCTAACTACTACACAGAACATTTAAGTCTGATGCTCTGTGCATTAGTAAAATGAATGTGTTTAGTAAGTAAGGTGACCTCATACTAGCTCCCACAGCACAAACTGATGGGGTTGGGGCCACTGGATGTGACAATTTTTTTAAGTTTATTTTTACTTATTGATTAATTGAGAGAGGGAAATTAAGGGAGAGAAGAGAGGGTGAAAAAGAGACAGGCAACTTTAACAGCATCTTCAAGCTGGATCCTACCCTCAGGCTTAGCCAGCCCTGATCACGAGTGCACACGCACACCTTGTGTGCACAGGGAGACTTTGGGAAGCGAATCAGGAATCTTCCTATGTGGGCTCAGTATTATGGAGCATTGTGTTATTGCTGTGCTCACTGTGATTGACCTGTGAAACAATTTTGAGGTCCGGATTCCAGTTTGGGTTGCACTAATAAGGAAAAGATGCAGCTGAGTTAGAAGAAAAATGGGAATGAGGTAGAAGAGAAATTATAGTACTGAAACATAGGGTCAGGAGAAACACATGGGTTACAATCAACAAGTGAAAATATTCAATCTTTTAGTCATACTGTTTTTCATCTTCTGATTTGAATTCACACAGCAGGGTTATCTGGCTGTTCAACAGCTCCCCAGCTCTGTCCTGAGGCAGGTAAAACTACCCCTGGGCAGAGTGTGCACTGAACAAAATTAACAAACTCCATGCCTGCCTCCCATGGGAGACTGTAGACGTCAGAGGGGGCTCTGGCTTAGCGTGCCATAAGGAGGGCTGTGCAGAGAGAGACTCTGGTCAGGGCTCTGTAAAGCCCTGTGGAGTCTGTGGGGAACAATAAGAATGCAGAATATAAATGTAAGCTGCAGGCTGATGGGCCCATTAGGAATTAGGGCAGTCTTTGAAAGGAATCTGCAGAGATGATGCAAAACACCAAGCATGTGACCCAAATCATGGCAGGGCATATTGGAGGGAGAGGGGAATGGGAATGAGACATTTTCTAATCTGATTAGTCTGAAGTTTCCCCTGAGTGTGGAGAAGGGTCACTGCACAATTAGAGGCAAAGTTAGACTGAACGTGGTCTGCTTAATGGCTGAGAGGGATGACCTTCTCAAAGCTAAGTTGGGCTTGGAGACAGATGTGTTCAGAGACTGAGATGACTTCGAAGTGAGTTGTGGAATAGTCATTTTGCATTTAATGTCAAATCGTAAAGACAAAGACAAAACAGTCTGCTGAGAGAATGAGAGGATGATGACATGGTGGCCTCAGCACTGGATAAGAAACATCTAGGTTCTCCAGAGGCCAGGCTCCCACATTACTGGACTTTCCAAGACAATTTGTCCTTGAGGTCATCGAGAGATAATCTAATAAATACCATCAGCTTCCTGACTAGAAGACAGCTTAATATGTGAAGGCCATTCAAATTCAATTGTTGAAAACAAGCCTTCTTCTATAGAAGCCTGTTCTATAGAAAGACATAGGTTTCTGCTACTTTAATTCTAAGTCACTAAGTGTGGTTTATGGTCCCTGACTTAAACTTCTCTCCTAGTCCTGAATCAATACTTAGCCTCAGGTGCTATGTTGGGTACTTTATGTATGTTGTGTCAGTGTATCATTAGAATCATTAGGAAGTAGGTACTGTTATTTCATTCTAGAGGAAAAGAAGCTGAGGCTTGGGTAGGTGAAAACTCTTCCACAAGATCATACAGCTAGTAAGTGAGTTCAAAGAATATGAGACAAAATGGGGGTAAAACTGTCAAGATGTGACAATCCGCAGATTGTTCATAGGTGGCAAATAAAACTAAGATTAGAAGAAATTGTGTACATCTGAATGAATCAAAGGTCAAGTCATAATTCTTCATTACAAGGTAAAGGACAAAAAGAGAAATACCAATAATGCTATGAGAATCAAGCAAAGGCAAAAGAGTTTTACACGTGATGTGGAATCACTTGAAATGAGTCTTGAAGGAAGAGCAAGTTTTCAACAGGTGAAGGAAATTGGAAGCTATTCCCTGCTGAAGAAATAGCAAGAGAAAAGGCAAAAAAGTGGGAGGGTGGGAGGTACATGCATGAAATGCTCAATGGCCTACTTGGCTGGACTGTGGGAAACAGTAAGGGGATCTTTGGAGGGTGTAATAACTGTGGAGAACACTGACTCCTAGGCCTGCCTACTTCATCTTAGGCCCTCTACACCAGGATGACTTACTTATCTCTCAGACTTCTATTAGCAAATAAAAACAAGTAGTGCTAAAACAAAGCCAAAATCCAAAGCAAATAAGTGGAGCAAATAATCTAGAAAATTACTCCAGGTCAATTCAATTCAAATAAGTGGAGCTGATAATCTAGAAAATTACTCCAGGTCAATTCAATGTACATACACATCCAACTAGATTTACCCTCTTCTGGATTCTCCTCCTGACACCTTGGACTCTAGTTTTCCAACATAGAATTTCATTTTACCTGCTCCCTTGGTTTCTCTTTTTGTCTCAAAGATTCCCCACTTCAGCTCCTGCTTGAAAACAATACTCCAAGTGACAATCCCAAGCCTTATGATAGAGAAGGCACATAGTTCAAAGCTAAGGAGTTGGTATTTTCTTAGAGACCAAAGAGATGCTTCAGATTTGTGAGTAAAAGAGTGACACAATAAGGGACCAGCAGTTAGCATAATGGCTATGTTGCTGGACTCCCATGTAGTCAACTGCAGTTTGAGTCCTGGACCTGGTAGCTTAAACTCATGCCGGGCGCATGTGCATGCATGCCCAAGATCCCAAAAGGAGAATGGCGGAGAAGGGATTGTGGTGTGGCCATCTCCCTGGGGGGTGATTTCTTGCTTTCTGTCTCTCTGGCAAGCACACTTGCTCTATAGCAAAAAATCTCTCTCTGAAAAAAAAGAAAAAAGAAAAGAAAAAAGAAAAAAAGAAAAACCTCCAGGAAAAAAAAAAAGAGTGACACAATGACATTTTTTCTCTTGGAAGGTACTTGAATTGTGTATGTAAAGATATATTTAAATATTTAGAGATTGATGAAAGAAAGACTTATGTAGTGGCCCTGCAGTAATCAAGAAGCAATATGGGTCAGAAAGAGTGATGATAATGGTAATGGAGAGGAGAGAGTGAATGAAGGCAGGAAGGAGGTAGAATTTAAGGTACTCTAATCTACTGGTTATTTGTAGATAATAATTAAAAATGAAGCAGAAAATGTGCATTTGAAAGATTCAAGGGTCAAGTCACAGCTCTTCTTCTAGACTATAAAACTTTGGGCAAAAGACCTCATCTCTCTAAACCTCAGGATCTTCATGCATAAGTAAAGATAATAGTGCTAATCTGACCTTGCCAAGTTGTTCCCAAAAAGTAAATGAGAATAATGTATACAATGTAATAATCACAATGTGTAAAACACAGCCAAAAATGTCAGAATTATTGCGATAACAAGTCAAAAAAGGAGCTGGAATGATTCCATAGGAAACGTAAAAGATGATCAGAATCTGGGTGCTTGGGAGGGTAGTTCCAGGAAGTAGAAAGTCAGGTTCAACAGAAATGATGTTTTAGAAAGCAGTTTACTATGCTCTACTTTAATTACATCATAATCCATAATCTCTATGCTTTACTTTTGGTGCTCTAGGTAGATAGAGCCTCATGCTAATACCTCTAGGTCCTCTCACTGCATGTCTTTGGTTATCAGTACTATGAAAAATCTACCCTGAATTTTACATCTAGTGTCCTCATAACCAATTTAAGTTGTATATTTCATTTTTTAAAGAATTATTTATTTTATTTGTTATTATTATTTGACCAGAGAGAGACAGAGAGAGACAGAAAGGGAAAGTGAGAAAGCAAGCCACCAGGTCCAAGACTTGAACCGCGGTTGGCAACACCTCAACCACTGGGCCACCTGCTGACCTCTAAGTTGTACATTTAATTTTGTCCCAGAATCTGTGTATATGTGTGCATTAGTGTTAAAAAGATAAAATAATAATTTACAATAGGTTCTCTAACATTCAAAATCATGATTAACTTTTCCTTTGTTAACATTTCATGGAGCTGTGTCATCAATAATATAATTAAAACAGTCTAATGTAAATCAAAGGCAATTAAAGGTAGATGTAAAACTAGAAAGTGTCTCCAACGAATGGTAGGAAAATCCCAATCAAGGGTGGAACTCTTGCTTACCTTGACAGTAAGGTTTCTAGAAGATCTTCATTCAAAGGTAACCTGAAAGACTTGCATAGCCTTTTGATGTCTTTGGTAGGTAATACATTTTTTCTGCATTAAAATAAAGTGGGCTTTTATAAACCTTATGTCCATCTAGTAACAATTACATGCTATAGGAAAGAAAATACAGATATAATGTGTCCTAAAAATACACATGTGGAAAAATAAGGAGATTTTTAAAAGTCCATAGGAAAATGGAATTAAAGTATGAGTTTATTTTGGTGCAAAATATGGGAAATCTATGCATAGTTTTTTCACAATACACAGTTTTTTCTATGAACTTTTTGAAGAACTCTTGTAAGTATGAAAATTGCTGTTGGAATCCACAGTAAAGAAAAACAGTCATATTGCATTTCATCAACTTTTTAAATTTCAGAGGTCACTAGATTCTGTCCTGACAAAGGCCTTTCCATCAAGATGCAGTTTCTTGGTTGGTGATAGTACAGCCTATTAAGGCTGCAGCCAAAAGTGTTGCTCTAAGTAATCGATCTGCATTCTTGACCACTAGTCAAAAATGGTTATGATATTTGAAAACATCTCTTAATTAGACAGGCATTTACTGCTTCCAACACAAGTATGATATGACTTGAGGGTGTTTTTCTGGTCTTTTCCTTGGACCCAAACTTTATAATGTGGAAGGCCCAGCTGAAGCCTAAACATTCACTGCAATTTTGTCAGATGTAAGCAGTTTTCTCAAGAGCAGCCCAACAGTCCTTTCCCCCGGCCTACAGGGGGCACAGAAATGTTCGTCTAATGTTTTAACTCAGTCAATGCTCTTCTAGACATCAGTCAAAATTAGAACCAACAGGAAAGCAAGTGGGCTCTTTTCTTTGCAATAAGAATATTTATGTTTAGAATCAAAGATTGTCAGATCTGTTAGAACCTCAGGCTGCCTGATAAAGCAGCCCCATTATTCACAAGAGGTGCTCTGTTAGTGAAGGAGGGTCACGCTTCTCACCCAGGAGAAGGTACACTACCAGGGTGGAAGGCAGGGCCAGCCAGGGTTGTGCAAAGGTCCAAGATGCTCCTGGAAGCTTAAAGATTCAAGGGAAAAAAATACCAACTCAACCAAGGTGCATTACGAATTAAGGAAAAAAAAATCGTGTTCATTTTTATGAAAAACTATAGGACTTTCAAAGATATTTAGGGTAAGTTGATCATTTGGGTGCAGACTTTGAGTCTGGGGATGAGGATGGGAGTCACAGGGAAGAGAGCTGGTTGTGGTATGTGGTAACAAGGTTAGGAGCTACAATGAGAACAAAGATTTTCTAACTCTACGTGCAATCAATAAATTTATATTTCTTCCCACTATATTAGGTCTGCTGGTAAGATGAATATCAAAACATATTAAGATGGCTGTATCAGGGCAGCAGGTGGCATGGTGGTTAAGGCACTAGATCCCATATGGCCAACTCTGGTTCTAGTTTTGGACCTGGTGGCTTGAAAAATACTCTGGGTGCATGTGTGTGCATGCCCCAAATCCTGAGGTGGATGAAGGAGAAGGGATTGTAGTGTGGCCATCCCTCCTGGGGGGTGATTTTTCACTTTCCCCCGTCTCTCTATGGCAAGTACAGACATCAAACATCTTATAGCAAAAAATATATATACAAAAAAAGCTGTATCCAGTTGCATACAATGACTTGATGAAGTTCATCAGACACATGATCAATGTATTACAAACGAATTGTGCTGGGGGCTTTGTTACTTTCAAGAATAGATCACCTAAAAAATAATGTAAGAAGACATGTCCAAATTAAACTTAACATCTTGATTTGCTCTACCTCAGTTGAAGGCTTCTAAAATGAATGAAAAATAATGCAAGGGGATAATCTATTCTTTTGAAGATACAGGGCCTCCCTATTCCATCAACAAATCTCACCATCACTGTGAGATTAGATATTAATCTCAAAAAATGACACTAGATACTCTCAAAAAATGATTTCAGGTGACTTTGCTAAGTAGTGGAATATGATGAGTCATGTCAATTTTCCTTTTGTCCTTTTAGATAAAATATAAATTAGTTTATTACTCAAGTTCACAGAAACTTAAATGATTTATTAGAATCAATAAAATGTAAGCTTACTTTTCTCGATCTTCGTATGCACAGGTGGAAATGAATTCATCAAAAGTCTCAAAAGTATTCTTTTTGAGCTGTTCGTGAGCCTGTGCAATTAAAAGATCCAAGTTTGGACATGGCTCCTCAGGCACACGGTAGTGACGTGCAATGGTTATGACTTCCTGCTCTATGAGTTTCCCAACAGTTATATTCATCACTATTTCTCTGTAAAGGAAATGAAAAAAATACATGAGTGATACTTAAGAATATGCTACCTTTCCTTCTATTGAAAAGATCCAAATACTATTTTATAAAACTTTGTTATAAGTTTTAAACATTTTATTCATTTATTTCTTCCATGACAGAGAGAGATGGAGTAGGTGGGTGGGACACTGAGAAGGAGAGACAGAGACAGAGAGGTACCCCCAACAGGGTCTTCATGCTACAACCCAACCCCAGTCTCAGCTGGCTCATATCATCAGCATGCACACATATGCCTGGTGTGCTCAGGAAGGTCCCAAAACATGAACCTGATACCCTTCCATGTGGATATAGTTGTGTTACCACTGTGCTACTACCTGGCCCCCATTTTACAAAACTTTTACCAATTGTGTAGAGGACATGATTGTTGTTCTTGAATTTAATTTCTGTACTTATTTTAGAGGCAACAGGAAGGCATCAATGCTAGAACAGAAAATCAAAAGCACTATAGCTTATAAATAAAATGGCATTTTGCCCAGAGTCAAATTTCTACCAGATAACAAGCCTCCAACTAGGAAGTAGATTTTAAAGGTCCCTGAATTGTCAAAATAGCTGTCATCACTACATGACTTTGTTCAGGGCCTATTAATCTTCCTTACACAGAACAGTAACAGACCTGGTTTTCCATGGTATAAAATATATAAATCAATAAATCAGGTATTTGGGGGATGAGGAAAGGGATCATGCACATTTCTGTAGTAGAAAGTAAAAACTGACACATCTTGACAGTGAGGGAAAAAAACGAAAAGTTAAAAGAGTTATGGAAGGGGCCAGCAGGTAGGACAATGGTTAAGGTACTAGACTCTGACGTGGTCGACTGCTGTTCAATTCCCAGACCTGGTGGCTTGAAATTGAGGCAGGGCGTGTGTGCCCAAAATCTCAAGAGGAGAATGGAGGGGAAGGGATTGTGGCCATCGCCACCACCACCTCTCCCCAGGGGGTGGGGGGTGATTTCTCACCAGCAAGCATACATGCCCTAATAGCAAATATATCCCTCTGTAAAAAAAAAAAAAAAAAAAAAAGGAGTTATGGAAGGGTACAACTCTGAGTCCTAAAAAGGTAAATTGCATTGAGATTATTTGGCAGAGCTTAAAAAACAAATGACATCAACATACTAATGATGAGGGCCCAAAGCCTAACAAATTGGCTGAATAATTTTCAATATATCCTCTGCATGAAAGCTATAAACTATGTGGCATGCATTTGAAAGAATTATATCAAAATGGTTAAAATGCAAACTCTTGATGGCTACATGAATAACCTTCCACTGTCTAGAAAAATGTACTTACTAGAAATAATTCAGTTCCTAAGAATCCTGAATAAATGAGGAAATACAAGATTTTATTTGTTCTGCTATTGATTTGTCTATAAAGGTTATTAGTTATTTTAGATATTTATGGTCATTCTCACTATCATTGAAGAATTCTAGGCTCTCCTACCCAAGAATTTCTTTAGGTAGAGCCTAGGAGAGCCCACAGTCACTGTTTTGACTTATCTGAAGGAACTGTATTTCACCCACATCCACTTCAGTTTTCCAGGTTTTCTATTTTATTTTTATTTAACTTTA